CAAGAATGCTCGGGTGCGTGTGAACGTTGTTTATGCGAGTCAGAAGTTCTCGGGCGCTGCGTTTCCTTCGGCTCCCTGAAAAGAAGACAAACCTTTTGAGGAGACACGTGTACGATTGCCCCGCTGTGTATGTGGTTTGCTGCAACTCCTGCAAAGGATCCTGGGCTCGGTGGGCTGGGTCCCATTTTATGCTCCTCAGGCAGAGAACAAAACGAGGAGCAAAACGCTTCTGCCGGCCTGGCCCATATTACATCCTCACCACAACCCTGTGAGGTAGACAAGAGTTTCGTGGCTGAGTGACATCTGAACCTGCTTCTTCCCAGGTGCACTCTGGCAATCTGCCCGCCCCACCAGACTCCCTGCCCAGGATAAAGAAATATGCACACTTAGCCATTCCCTGCAGAGCAGACTTATTGCTGTCCACGAATTTACTCCAGAGCGACTTGCTCCAAGGGTGCACCCCGATTCTCAAAGTGTAACACTTCCTCCCGTAGTGGTTTGATTTCTCTCTCTCTCCATTCTTAACTCCAGGAGGAATTGAAAGAATACCAGTTAGACACTTCCACTGCCCTGCGCCTTCCGAGCGTCCCCAACAAACCCCTGCATTTTTCTAGGTTCACCCTTGCCCATAGCTGTCAACGTTTCTCTTTTTTTTAAGGGAAATTCCCTTATTCCGAATAGGATTCCTCGCAAGAAAAGGGAAAAGTTGACAGCTATGCCCTTGCCCCTTCAGCTCAAAGGGATCTCCCTGTAAACCAGCCGCATAATCCGAATGCACGACATAAATCTATGATCAGCTGCAAAAAAGACAGCAAGCAAGCGCTGGCTGCTCAAGGCGCTTCTTGAATTCCCTCGCCTTGCAGTGGAACCGAGTGCGCTAATGCATTTACTCGAGTCCTACGCGAATCCCACCGCCCTCTCCTTGGGAGAAAAAATGCGGCACCTAGGCCGCATTCCCCCTAGAATAGCCGCAGGCCGATCCCGGGTGGCGACTCTGTGAGCAGCCGGGACCACCTCCCTGACCCTTCTGCTTTCGCTCCCGGGCTATGCAAGTGCTATGCGTGTCTGCAGCGCTTGGCGAGCACCCAGCGCCCTCTGGCACGAAAGGGAAATTTTCGGCCTGGCTTGGGAAGCCTCTTGGAGAGGCAAAGAAAGGCGGCAGCGGGGGCGTCCAGAGGGTCCCCAGAGAAGCGGCATCTTCTGGTCTAGTAACCCCACTAAAACTTTTTGTTGTTTAGTCGTTTAGTCGTGTCCGACTCTTCGTGACCCCATGGACCAGAGCACGCCAGGCACTTCTGTCTTCCACTGCCTCCCGCAGTTTGGTCAGACTCATGTTTGTAGCTTCGAGAACACTGTCCAACCATCTCGTCCTCTGTCGTCCTCTCCTTGTGCCCTCCATCTTTCCCAACATCAGGGTCTTTTCCAGGGAGTCTTCTCTTCTCATGAGGTGGCCAAAGTATTGGAGCTTTATTATTATTATCATTTGCTAAGCGAGGAACACCCCCACTCCCTCACCGCCAGTTTGCTCCCAAGCACGATTAGCTGGGGAAACCAATGAAGGGAAGATGTCCGCAGGTCACCTTTGACGCATAGTCTTACGGGGGTAAACAACGCAAATATCCGGGGTATGTCTCAGTGGGCAAGTAAAATGGGGGCGGGGAGTCGACGTCGCAGCCTTGGCCAAGCAGCGAGAGAGCTTTTTTTTTTGCCCCTCAGCGATGTCACTGCCCCCATTGGAGCCCACGGGTCTTACTTCCGAGTAGACAGTTGGACTGTCAGCTGGCTGGTTTGTGCAAACAGGTGTCTGTCGCCCTCGGCTGGCCTCTTTCCAGGGATCAGGCTGCGGATGCTACCAAGTTGAACCCAAGGCTAGGGCGCAAAGGTTTCGAGTTGGGCCTTTAAATCGTAGTTCTTTAAACCGTAGTAGGCAGGGGGTGATCCTAAAGGCCAGGCGAAGCCCCACCCCACGCCACTCTCGGCAGATTTATAGGGCGGTCAGTTAAACGAGGCTTTACTCCCCCAGGTCAGTAGGCCGTGAGGATTGTGGAGTCCAGGGAGACTTCCTTCGGGGTCAGAGTCTATAAAACGGCCTTTGGGGTTCAGAGGTGCCTGGAGTACGGCGGGTTCGGGGTACATAATAACAATAACAATTTTTATTATTATTTTGCTGCGCCCACCAGAGTGGTTACCCAGCCACTCTGCGCGGCTCCTGCACCTGCACTTTTCTCTGCCCGAGGCTTTTTTTCTTATAGGGCAGCAGTGGAGAATGGGGTTTATTTCCCTTCCAGGAGAAAGTAGCGCAAGGCAAGTGCGCTCAAAACCCGTAGCACCCAGCGGGACTTTGGGAACTGGAACGGGGCGCAGCCTTGCGCCCGGTGCACGCCTGTGGCCGCCTCTTGTCCACCCCTCGCTTCCTTCCGTTCCAACTTCTCTGGCCGGCCCCAGAGAAACCGACTTGACATTTCTGCAGATTCGGGGTCAAGATGGCTGCGGAGTGAAGCCTGATTCGCCCTCCCCCGCCACGCAGGTCTGGAGAGAATCCGAGTTCACACCTTCTCCGCCCGCCCTCGCAGATCCGGCTGTCCCCCCCCCTCAGAGGCGACTCTGTGTGTTTATCTTTCGCCCCAACAACCTCCCTTTCCCTCGCTGACCTGCGTTTGAACCTACGATTCGCCCCGCGCCATCAGCTTGGAGAATTTACTCCGTCTTCTCGCTGCTGCTGCGGATTCCTCCTCTCAGGTCCCTTGAACGTAAATATCCAACCCCTGTCGGTGGGGTGAACTGCAGGCCAAGGACTAATTTTAGAGAAAGCGGCCAGGGCTCGGCCATTCTTCCCCCGGCCGCTGACATCATTTATGGTTTCGAGCCTCGGAAACATCCTGCGCTCCCTTTGCAAGGCAGCGGCTGCTGCGGAGGCAACGCTGGCGCGGAGCTGGAGAGCCGCGGATTGGGGGCAGGCCCAGGGCTTTCCCACCCTAAATCTTCATGGCCCTTCCAGCCAAAGGGGGCAGAGAGAAGCCGGAGCTACAGTGGTTCAGCAACCGGATCGGTTCCTTGTAGTGGGGGGCTCTCCCCGCGCCCCCAAAACCCACCCCCAATGCTTGGCCGCAGAAATTTGTTTCAACCTTGATGTAGGGTTCGGGAACATTATTACTCGGTTAATGGTCTGCGGCCCAGCCTAACCTCTCTTACCTGCGAGTAAGGGCCGCTGAATTCAGCCAGCAATTTGTGGACAGGTTTGCTAACAGAGGGTTAGATCCTCATGGCTTGATCCAATGCATCTTTGCACAGCAGAAAATCCAACTTTCCCTCGAGTAAGTGGATAAGACTTCTGTCCCAGGCTGCTACGGCCAGGATACTGACAGAAGTTTCAGTGAAGTCAATGGAAGTTGTAGGGTGCACATCTCCCGTGAAATCCAGGTAAGCACCTTGACTAAACTACAATGCGGATCAGCAAGTGCCGAGACTATGGAAGGCCCCTAGAACAGGGAAGTATTTTTTAAAAAGAGAGGAACAGCTGGTATCTGAGGTGAGTGCCTGCTGCCCACTGATGGGGGAAAAAAGTGACTTTGCCCTGGTACACACGGCTTTCTCTCCACGTTGCTCACGGTGTGATCTCTCAAACAGCAGCACCCTCAGGTCAAACCTGGGGATGCGTGTGAGAGATTTTTGGCAGGGAACCAGCGTTGGGCCATTCGGGATCGCTTCTTGCTGCCTGATCCAGGTCTGGCCACCCTGTCTAGTTGTTTTGAAAGCGGGTTTAAGGTAACCTGCCCTTTCTGCCAGATCTACACCGCAGGGTTGTTCGGAGAACAAGAGGAGAAGCGAACGGCTCGAGTGTGCGGGATAAAGATACAGCAACAAATGTTTACAAATTAATAAATCCTAGAGAAACAAGTTGGCTGTGGTCGCACCGTCGTAATGGGGAAGCACCATTTGTCTAGGAATACAAAGCGGTGCCTTAGTATAGAAACCGGATTATTTGTCCGAGCGCGTGTTTACTCCTCCAGTAAAACAAGGAGCAGATAAAGCCCCTCTCTGGGAAGCAAACCTAATAATTTACTCCGGAGTAAAGATCGAACCCAGGCTACCAAACCATGGAAACGAAGAGAACTACTAGACAAGGCACAGGGGGGAGGGGGTTATCGCTTCATTTTTAATTATGCTTTTATGATGTATTTTGTGTTTTTCTCTTGTGAACCGCCCTGAGATCTATGGATGAAGGGCGGTATAAAAAATATAGTAAATTAATAAATAAATGACACAGGATTGGAGCCCAAGCTTAAATGCACGGGAGGGAGGGGGAGACTCTTAAATGTATTGCAAAACATCGCCGTTGATTGGAGTTGGGAGCACGTCTGAAATGGCTCTTGGATGCACGCGACTGACTTGCCTTAGGTTGAGTCGCCGGGCCTGTTTTTGCGATGCAGTCCTAAACTATGGAGTGGAGCTTACATCTGCGCAAGTGCGCGCAGGATCTAGCGCAATGTGTGGCATGCTCACTTTGAAGCGGTGGGTGAGCCGCCGACCGACCAACCAGTTCCACAGGGCTTCCTTCCTTCCTAAAGTGCTGAGCTCCACCACCCGGTGATCCGAAGAGGCATTAGGAGCAACTCACTAACCCTGCTCTTTTCAATGGCCTGAAGCGCAACCAATTGGGACCAGAGCAGAACAATCCAACTGTGTACGCCTACTCTAGACGGCAGCCTCGTTGCGCGCCTAAGTGTCCATAAACGCTCCAACCGTAGGGCAGGGTCCTTCCTGCTGGCAGCCACTGGGATGTGCCCCGGAGCACTTGGCTGCCTTTACGGGAGAGTAGGCCTTATAGGGAACCCAGCGAAGGTCTCCTTGTGAGCCACTGCGCCTAGGCTCGCCCTAGACGGCTGGTTGACCCAAGCGCACCTGCCTTTCCCAGTCAAGCCGCTGGCTTGGCTTGGCTTGGGGTGGGGGCTGCGAGGACATCTGCGGAGGCAGGAGAGGCGCTGAGCATCCGCTTTGCAACTGCGGCTGGCTCCCAAGTGCTTTCTGCAGAGCGCAGGAGAGAGGCGGAGACAGGGAAGGCGCAAAGCCCGCCCAAGGCAGGCAGAGTGCATCGACGGGGCGGAGCCTGCCGGGCCCGAGGGGCAATTAAGGATGAACTTTCGGTGAACTAATTGATCGCACGGCCCAAGGTAAAGTGGGCAGCGACCTGGGCCGAGGATGCCTATAAAAGGGGGCCCCCGCCGCGGCGCTGGGCCCTTGCGCTCACTCGCCAGCCCCCGGGGGAAGTCTGCCAGCCTGCCCGCCAGCCTGACGGCAGGTGCCCGCCCCGCTCGCTGCAGCCCGGCCCCGGCGGCCAGCATGGGTTTCTCTGCCTTGCTGCCCAGCGCTGTGCTCACCTTCGTGCTGCTGCCGCTGCTCCTCTTCCTGGCCGCAGTGAAGCTGTGGGACTTGTACTGCCTGCGCGGCCGCGATCCCAGCTGCCCGCTGCCCCTGCCCCCTGGCACCATGGGGCTGCCCTTTTTCGGGGAGACGCTGCAGTTAGTGTTGCAGGTGAGGAGAAGGAAGAGAGACGACGGGGGAGAGAGAGAAAAAACACAAACCAAACAGGTGCCTTTGAGCTCCCCAGATTGATCCACCCCTCTTCTTTTCGCTCTCTTTTTGCAGCGGCGGAAATTCCTGCAGCTGAAGCGGCGCAAGTACGGCTACATCTACAAGACGCACCTCTTCGGGCGGCCCACGGTGCGCGTGATGGGGGTGGACAATGTGCGCCACATCCTGCTGGGCGAGCACCGGCTGGTGGCAGTGCAGTGGCCGGCGTCGGTGCGCACCATCCTGGGCGCCGGCTGCCTCTCCAACCTCCACGACGGGCAGCACAAGCACCGCAAGAAGGCAAGCGGGGAGCGGCTCTGCCGGACGAAGGAGGCACCGCCGTAGCTCCGGGGCGGGGGGGGGGCGCAGCTCTCTGAAAGGCACGCCAGCCTCGATGGGGCCGGAGGGCTCCCTGTAGCGGGTTGGGGTGGCTCCGAGCCCGCGGGTGAGGGAAGAGAAGTTGTGGAGCCATTAGGTGACTTTTGATTCTGGACTTCTGAAGATTCCTTTCCTTTCTTAGCCCGGCTGTGTAGTGGGGACCTCTTTCTGCTCATTTTTGCGGACTGGGGGCCTGGTCTTCTGCCCCCGATGGCGCCAGTGGGGGCGGGGGGATCTGCTCCAGAAGTCTGCCGTCGTCTCTTGGAGAGGGCGCCCATTTTCATTGAAATGAGCCCCCAAATTCTAGATTTCAGCCTCAACTTGGAGTCTTTAGAATTCCACGCAGGTCTGCGGAACGCGCTTCTTCCTAGTAGCAACTCAAACCTAGACGCATATACTCAGAAGTCACACTGATTTCACGTCGGGCTCTTCCCAGGCAGGACTGCAGTCCAAGCGTGTTCAGGGATTGCAAGCCCGCGCGCGTTTCCCTGCCTGCCTGCCTGCTTCCTGGAAGAAATCCCCGACGTGTTCGGTGATGGGCTTTTATTTCTGGGTAAACACAGGTCGGCTCTGGCTTTCTCGGAAAGAGTTCTAAGGGAAAGAGGACGAGGTTAGAAGGCCAGGGTGCTAAAAACACATCTGGGGGAAAGTCCGTTCCAATAAAAGCGACTCCCATAAAACGAATGGCGCCTTCCATAAATAGCCTCGAGAAGTAAAAGGGAGCAATCGAGAGACCATAAAAAGAGGTCTTGGCGCCCCGGCCTTCCACACCACGCGGCGAAGTCTCCTTGATTTCAAAGGTGCTTTCTTCCCTTTCAAGTCACGGGGCGCAGGAGTGCCAAAATGCGAAGCGACATTTGGAGGAAACGGCACTGTTGACGCCCCCCCTCCAACTCCCCACAGTCCTGCTCCGAAGGTTTTCTTTTGGAAAGGTGCCTCCTAACTCAAAACCGCGAAACAACAGTTTTCTCTCTACTCTGCTTTGAACTGGGGACTTTTGGAGCCTCGATCCGCCCCGTCGAGTTCGGTGGGATTTACTCTGATGTCCAGCCATCTGCTTGCTGCCTTAATCGCCGAGTTTAGCGCCTGGAACCTGTTGCCATTTGGGTCGACTCTTGAGCAGACTTACTTGGAAGCAAGTGCCTTTGAAATCGGGGGTACGAGGCTGGCTCTCCGCGCCCCTGGTCTTGGCTTGCAGCAAGGCAGAAACAACCCCCTGGATTCGAACCCACGGCCTTGCCAAACGCGCCACCGAAGTTTTTAACCGCGGGCGCGCAGACCTCTTTAAAAAAAACCTCTCGCCATTTTTTTGTGGGAGGACCCACTTGGCAAGCAGAAGAGCGCAGGACGAAGCGCCGCGGCTTTCCCCCAGACTTGGAGCACTTGTTTAGCTTTGCGGGTTTTTTTTTCTTTTAAAAAAGTTCCTCCCGCCCGAGGGTCCCCTTAAAAGTAACCGCCTCTCCTTCCGCCGCAGGTAATCATGCGCGCTTTCTCCCGGGAGGCCCTGCAGCACTACATGCCGGTCATCCAGGAAGAGGTGAGCGCCTGCCTGCGCCAATGGCTCCTGGTGAGCGCCGGCGGCGGCTCTTGCCTGCTTGTTTACCCGGAGGTAAAACGCCTCATGTTCCGCATCGCCATGCGCATCCTACTGGGCTTCCGGCCCAGCCCGACGGCGGGCTCGGACGGCGAGCAGCACCTCATGGAGGCCTTCGAGGAGATGATCCGCAACCTCTTCTCGCTACCCATCGACTTGCCTTTCAGCGGCCTCTACAAGGTAAAGGGTGGTCTGAGAGGTTGTGGGGGAGGGAGGTGGGAGGTGGCCCGAGGGGGACCCCCTGCCCGGACATGACAAGCGGCGCTCGGAAGGAGGGAGCCCGCCTCTCTGAAGGCATCCGCTCTTGCTTCCAGGGCTTGAGGGCGCGCGATGTCATCCACGCCAAGATCGAGGAGAGCATCCAGGCGAAGCTAGCCGGGAAGGAGCCCCCCGACGGCTACAAGGACGCGCTGCAGTTGCTGATGGAGCACACGCGGGGCAACGGGGAGCAGCTCAACATGCAGGTGGGGAGAGGTCCCAAGGCGCGGGGATCCTGACCGGTCTCTCTCTCTCTCTCTCTCTCTCTCTCTCTCTCTCTCTCTCTCTCTCTCTCTCTCTCAGCTTTGGGGGCCGGGGATTCCAGTGCTGGAAGTGGTCTAGTAGCCACCAGGGACTCTAGGACGCCCCTGAGTCAAGCACCTGCTCTTTCAACGTTAGGGTTGCCAGGCTGGGTTTTTAAAGGCTGCATAGCAGGCAGAAAGTCACCAGGTGCAGCCTTTCCTGGTCCGGCAGATTCAGTTGCGGAGAAAGCACTATTGGCATTTCCTCCATTCAAATGATGGAGTTAAATATGGTCCCCCCCCCACCACTTTGTAAAGAGGCTGGAAATATCTGTCTAATGAGGGTAGGTGTTCCTGTTTAGAGCATCCAGGGTTTCTGTGTGTAGTGACAGGACGTTAGAAACTCAACAATTCTTCCTCTGCTGTTAGATCTCCATGTCTGAGAAAGGCTTTCTGCCTGTCTGTGCAGCGTTAAAATAGGTTCCTTTGAGAAGAGATTGTATTGGTGTGTGTGCATGCACGCATGCAAGGCCATCATGCTTTTCATTCAGAGACCCCCCCCAGCATACTTTGATGCCCTTTGTTCCCATTTTATGCTCATTTTAGAAAGCATCCTTTCCCCCAGGATCATTCAAAACACTGATTTTAAAATAGAGTTCTCCTTGACATACCTCAATTTTTTTTCTGCAGGGGTGTTTTATTATTTACTGTTCGGCATGTTGTGATGGGTGGTGCTGGGACATGGGTGGCGCTGTGGTCTAAACCACTGAGCCTAGGGCTTACTGCCCTTCCAATCGGGGTTCAGGCCTCATCATGGGACTGAAACTGCCTTGGTCGCACTGGTTGATGATCTCCGGCGGGCTAGGGACAAAGGTGAGAGCTGTTTCCTAGTTCTGCTGGATCTCTCAGCGGCCTTTGATACAATCGACCATAACATCCTTCTGGACTGTCTAGAGGGGCTGGGAGCTGGGGGCACTGTTATACAGTGGTTCCGCTCCTTCCTCCTGGGCCGTGTTCAGAAAGTGGTGGTGGGGGATGAGTGTTCAGACCCCTGGGCTCTCACTTGTGGGGTGCCTCAGGGTTCTGTCCTCTCCCCCATGCTTTTCAACATTTACATGCAGCCACTGGGAGAGATCATCAGGAGGTTTGGCTGGGTGTTCATCAGTATGCGGATGATACCCAGCTCTACCTCTCTTTAAATCAGAACCAGTGAAGGCGGTGAAGGTCCTGTGTGAGTGCCTGGAGGCGGTTGGAGGATGGATGGCGGCTAACAGATTGAGGTTGAATCCTGACAAGACAGAAGTACTGTTTTTGGGGGACAGGGGGCGGGCTGGTGTGGAGGACTCCCTGGTCCTGAATGGGGTAACTGTGCCCCTGAAGGACCAGGTGCGTAGCCTGGGAGTCATTTTGGACTCACAGCTGTCCATGGAGGCGCAGGTCAATTCTGTATCCAGGGCAGCTCCACCTGGTACGCAGGCTGAGACCCTACCTGCCCGCGGACTGTCTCGCCAGAGTGGTGCATGCTCTAGTTATCTCCCGCTTGGACTACTGCAATGCGCTCTACGTGGGGCTACCTTTGAAGGTGACTCGGAAACTACAGCTAATCCAGAATGCGGCAGCTAGACTGGTGACTGGGGGCGGCCGCCGAGACCACATAACACCGGTCTTGAAAGACCTACATTGGCTCCCAGTACGTTTCCGAGCACAATTCAAAGTGCTGGTGTTGACCTTTAAAGCCCTAAATGGCCTCGGCCCAGTATACCTGAAGGAGCGTCTCCACCCCTGTCGTTCAGGTATACTGGGCCTTCTGGCGGTTCCCTCATTGCGAGAAGCAAAGCTACAGGGAACCAGGCAGAGGGCCTTTTCGGTAGTGGCGCCTGCCCTGTGGAATGCCCTCCCATCAGATGTCAAAACGATAAACAACTACCTGACATTCAGAAGACATCTTAAGGCAGCCCTGTTCAGGGAAGTTTTTAATGTATGATATTTTAGTGGGGTTTTTGGTTTCTATGGAAGCCGCCCAGAGTGGCTGGGGAAACCCAGCCAGATGGGCGGGGTACAAATAATAATTATTATTATTATTATTATTATTATTATTATTATTATTATTATTATTATTATTATATTACTGATCGGAAGGTCAGCGGTTCGAATCCCCGCAGCAGGGCGAGCTCCCGTTGCTCGGTTCCAGCTCCTGCCAACCCAGCAGTCCAATAGCTGACATGCTAGTAGATAAATAGGTACCACTCTGGCGGGAAGGTAAACGGCATTTCCGGGCGCTGCTCTGGTTTCGCTAGAAGCGGCTTAGTCATGCTGATCACATGACCTGGAAAAACTGTCTGCGGACAAACGTCGGCTGCCTCGGCCAGTAAAGCAAGATGAATGCCGCAACCGAGACTGGACTTAACTGTCAGGGGTCTTTTACCTTTACCTTTTATGTTGTGATGAAAAGCAGTGGGCTGGCCTTCTCAGGTGGTGACCTGCCTGGATGTTTGGCATCCCATTCAGGGTTTTGTTTTTTTTAATAAAAACCCCCACCTTTCTTTGAATTGAAGTAATGTTCATTCATTGGACTCTAGGGGTATATATACAGTGGTACCTCGGGTTACATACGCTTCGGGTTACATACGCTTCAGGTTACACACTGCTAACCAAGGAATAGTACCTCAGGTTAAGAACTTTGCTTCAGGATGAGAACAGAAATTGCGCTGCGGCGGCAGCAGGAGGCCCCATTAGCTAAAGTGGTGCTTCAGGTTAAGAACAGTTTCAGGTTAAGAACGGACCTCCAGAACGAATTAAGTACTTAACCCGAGGTACCACTGTATTCCTGTACAGTGGTGCCTCGCAAGACGAAATTAATTCGTTCCGCGAGTTATGTGAAAATGCTAGTTGCATCCTAGTGATATGTTTTTGTATATGCTGGAAGCTGCCCAGAGTGGCTGGGGTAACCCAGTCAGATGGGCAGGGTACAAATAATAAAATTATTATTACTATTAGTAGTAGTTGTAGTAGTAGTAGTATTAAACAACTGGCTGATCAATGAATTGCTATGGTCCTCAAGTTCTCATAAGGGTCTAAGTGCTCGGTGTGTAGGAAGTGGGCACAACTGGAGCTGCTCTCCAATTTTCTTAGCTACCCTGTCCTTCTCCTAAAACTTTTTAGTCTTTAGTTTTTAGTCTTTTTAGACTATACACAGAAGGATGCATAATATACCTTTGTCCCAGAGTTAAAGAATGAAATCACTATGTGCTGAAAGCTGGGTTAGAACCCATCACCTGGACATCCAGGTTTTCAAAGCGGCCGGGTTTTTATGTTTGGCATGGAGGAATATTCAGCATGTGACTATGCCCATGCAGTCACAAGTGGAGCAGCCCTGCCATGGGACTAGTTCACACTTGGGTGCTAAACCTATGGCAGCTTTGTTCTCTTAATTCACAACAGGGTTTCAGACCCGCACTGTGCTCCACTCTTGCTTATTTATTTAGCCCATTTATATCCTGCTCTACACCTGGGTGGGTCAATGAGAACACTCCCCAACACCAAACCAATTCCTAAAACATGCAACAATACCAATAAAAAATCACGCAATAGGAGCAGCAGTTAGGGAGCAATCTGAAATTATAGTGGCAGTGTCACCTAGAGGGCTGAGTCAGATAAGTGTTAACCTGACATCTAACTACCAGCCATTTTCTCTTGCATGTTTCTTAACTCCTGGAAAGTGCTTGCTTCTACTGTCTCTTACAACCACATTCTTGTCTTGACTCTGCAGTACAGGAATGAGGAACCTGTGGCCCTCCAGATGTTGGTGGACATCCATCATTATTGACTATGCTGACTAGGACTGATGGAGAGTTAAGCCCAGGAACATCTGGAGGACCAAAAGTTCCCCATTCCTGCCTTACAACCTGACCTCTCTCTCCTCTCCTCTGCAATGGACTTTACTAAGGTCAAAGATGATATCCTTGCTGCTTGCCCAATTCAAAGGTGAATACTGTGCTCCCATCCTCCCTGATCTCCCTACTGCCTTAGACCCAGTTTATCAAAACGTTGCTTGCTTGGCTCCCTCTGTATCTTACCTTCTTCAACTCTGCTCTTAGTCAGTGGAAGATTTCTCGCTTCTCATTGCAAGGGATTATCAGATAGTTAATGAATTCGACTCAGCAAGATGCAATTGTTGTGGGGAAACCAGATGGAAAGTGACAGTAGAGAACAGAAGTGGAAGTCCTGCTAGTGCAAGGATTAGTACTAGCACAATGGGATTTCCCCCCTTCCTCTCTTCACATGCTCTGCGCCATCCCATAGACCAGGGATTCTCAAACTTGGCTCTCCATCTGTGTTTGGACTCTCATCATCCCTAGCTAGCAGGACCCGTAGTCAGGGGTGATGGGAATTGTAGTCCAAAAACATATGGAGACCCAAGTTTAGGAAACCCTGCCATAGACCATGCAGTGTGACCTGCTATCCTCCTGCCTCATGTCCTTGCGCATTATCAAACCATCTTTAGGGCAAGTTGGTGTCATCTTTAGTAGGGTAAAGTGGCTGACTAGGGAGTGGCTGATAACTATGTGCATCAGCCTCTCCCTTCATTTCTTAAATCAGCAATGCAGATGTCAAAGGAATGTGGAAAGTAAAGGGAGTGGATTGCAGTATATTCAGGTGGAGAAGAGCAGGTGGATATTGAGTGTGCAATTTGAAGCCAAGGGGGAAGGTGTGGAATGGGAAGGTGGTAGCCCTTGAAAGCACTGGGAGAAGAACAGGCCATTCAGACTGGCAGAAAAGAGCAATAAGAGGCACCCATGAACTTAGCACAACAACATGGCCATTAAGTACCGGGATCTGTATCCCTGGGAAGTTTGCCTCTGCAGCCGCTTTGTGTGTGTGTGATATCCCTGAAATAAAAGGATTCTGATGCAAAGTACAGGCTGATTTTCTTTCTCCTGTTTTTCCTCTCCACCTGAAGGAGCTGAAAGAATCTGCGACGGAGCTTCTTTTTGCTGGGCACGAGACAACTGCCAGTGCTGCTACATCCTTGATTACTTTCCTAGGCCTTCACCAAGATGTGCTGCAGAAAGTGAGGAAGGAATTGCAGGAGAAGGTGGGTGCTGTCTAAGTGTTTGGAAGACAGGTTGTACCGTGCATGAAGCAGGCTGCTGTGATCCTGTAGACAGTCTTGGAAATGGAGCTGGGAGACTTGGTTTGGAAACCCTGCTGGCACAGATTACAAATGAGTCTGGTCATATTAACAAAGCTATTAATAAATAGGTGGAATGATGCTCAGGTATGATGCTAAAGGGGTTGCATTTGGCACTGTGGTCTAAACCACTGAGCCTCTTGGGCTTGCTCATCGGAAGGTCAGCGGTTCGAATCCCCACGACAGGGTGAGCTCCCGTTGTTCGGTCCCTGCTCCTGCCAACCTAGCAGTTCAAAAGCACGTCAAAGTGCAAGTAGATAAATAGGTACCACTCCGGCGGGAAGGTAAACGGCATTTCCGTGCACTGCTCTGGTTTCGCCAGAAGAGGCTTAGTCATGCTGGCCACATCACCTGGAAAAACTCTGCGGACAAACATTGGCTCCCTCGGCCGGTAAAGTGAGATGAGTGCCGCAACCCCAGAGTCGTTTGCAACTGGACTGTCAGGGGTCCTCTACCTTTACCTTTTAAGGTGATTTCTCCTTTGTGTAACAGAATGACCTCCCCCAGCTCACCCCTTAAATCTGTTCTAGGGTTCTCTGCAATCTTCTGGAGCAGATTTGGGTATGGTAATGCAACTATTTAGTTGACTGCTGCCCAAGGTCTGTACTGAATATGCCAAACTTCTGCCAGTCTCTTTGTATACATCTTACCCACTAGAGTGCATATAAAATATTTTCCTTTGTAGAAGTAGTGATATAAAGAGATAAAGATTAGCTTTACTAATTAAAATATTACATTTTTTTAAAGATAAAAAAGATATCCTCCATTTAAATGGGCAGTGTCTTTTTCTAGACTGTTAATGTTTCAAATATAAGAAAATATCACTGGCAGATGAATCGTTCTCTGTTCTCTTAAAAGGGAATTGTTGCCAAGAACCAGGGCCATTGTGTCCCGTTTCACCGCTAGAGGTGAAACAGGAAGTACCGCCTTGCCCTGCCACTGCCGCCACTGCTGCAGGTGGTGACCCTGCTTCATTCATTCTGCTGCCTCCATCAGTGGTGGAGAAGCAGTACTGGCATCTGCGCAATTTCAGGCAAGATCTCACCCAAACCGTGAGATTTCTCCATAAGACCTTGCATGATACCAGCGCTGCTTCTGGAGGCAGTGGGGCAGGTAATCCACCTGCAGGGTTCCTGCCTTGGGGGCGTTGCTGCCTGAGGCTGTCATTAATCAACAGATGTCTGTGCCATGCATGTGGCAAACTTTACAGGTGTGTATTTCAAACCGAGCAAGGGTCTCCCGCGCTCTTGGGAAGTACATCACTTGAGTGGCATGTAGATTATGCCAGGAAATATGCGGGCAGAAATCTTTACTAAATATACAAAATAAACAAAACAACCATTCAGGAAGTGGCAACAAAAGTATGTGTAAAGTAGGAGGTACCTAGGAGGGAAGAAGTCAGAACGGGGCTAAAATCTTTGCTTTCACCTTCAGGTGCAAAAGGAAGTGGAGGGAAATGTCATTTTTAACATGCCGTTTTAAACAATCTGTCCCTCATCACAGGGAACTCTGGGAATGGTGGTTCTGTGAGGGGAATTAAGGGGTCTCCCTGCAACTCTCAGCACCCATAACAAACTACAGCTCCCATAATATTTTGTGGGAAACCATGGCTGTTTAATGTGGCATGGATACTGCTTTTTAAATGTATGGCGTGAATGTGACCTTAGCCTGGAAGTTCTTTTCCTGTGGCTACGTGGGATCTTGCTTTGGGACCTATTGCATGAATGCAGATGGTCCTGTAGGGTGTGGGTGCTGGATCGCTAAGCCTTCTCTCTACACTGGTACTCAAGACACATCCTTTGTTTTCAGGGATTGTTGGGCAACATGAGCCAAGAGAAGCATTTGGAAATGGAACTCTTGGAGCAACTGAAGTACACTGGCTGTGTCATCAAGGAGACTCTCCGTCTGAGTCCACCAGTTCCTGGAGGATTCAGAGTGGCTCTCAAGACTTTTGAGCTAAATGTAAGCAGGCAAAGCCCATTTTCATTAAGTCTCCATAACATCTCAGTTCTGCTGATTTTCCATGGAGATCCTTTTTTAGTGCTTAGCATCGCAACAAAATATTGCAGCAATAACTGGACTGCTCATACCATAATAATAAAAAGTACATTTAGAATTTTTATAAGAGCAAACTTCCAACAGTTTCTGCATCGCTGCAATGCCTTGGGATAAGCTTTATCTGTCCCTCTCTGAAGCAATTTTGATTCTATGATTGGGGAGACAAAAAATGGCCTTTTTTGGATTATGATGTGGGTCCAAGTTACACAGATGTAGTTTCTGTGGAGTCACAGTTTGGGGTGAAATGGCAACTATTGAAATTGTTCTGTTCCAGAGTGCTTAAGCCTGTTTCTTTTGGTATTGGAATAAGTCAGACATAACTAGCTCTTTTCATGACATTTGTCATGCCAGAAAAGTAAGCTCTTGAAGCTGTTCTTATGCCTTGGTATGAGGAACTTAGCCAATGCTTGCCTTTCAGTCTTGCTCTTGCAAGACTGTGCTCTTGCAAATGTGCAAGAGAGAATTCTGGGAGTTGCAGCTTCTCCAGTGTGATGCTAGGAAGAAAGTCTACCTGCTGAAAATCTCCGCTATGCAGCTTTAGAAAAGGTGCAGGAATACCTGTATGGAACTAGCAGCCCTCTTTCCCCCTCCTATAACAGTAAAGGTGTTGCCATCCTAATGCACTATGAATTAGGGAGCTATGTTTCACAGAGATTAGCTGTAGCTCTAGAGAAAGTGTGGCAGCCCAAGACATTTGTTACTTGAGGCAAAGGACGTGCTCTCTTTCATGTACCAAGGTATACCAGCACTGATTTTAGTGCTGAGAGAGTCCTCGACCGCAGCAGATGAACTATGGGGGTGCAGGCCAGGCCATGTGATTCTCAAAGCCCTGTCTGCTGTCCACCCATATCTGCTGCCTTAAGCAGTCGTTTCACTCTGCCTAATGGTAGGACCAGCTGTCCCCCATTTTATACACATGGTAGCCTCTGAACTTTCTTGGTACTGATCACCTGTGCCAGGTGTAGGGCAGCTTTGGCCCTCCAGGTGTTACTGAACTCAACCCCCCATCACTCCTGGTCATTGGCCATGCTTGCAAAGGCTGGTGAGAGTTGTAGTTTAGCAACATCTGGAGGTCCTATGTGCCTAGGAAGTGGTGCATGGAATTCGTTCTGTCTTCCCTGAGTGGGTGATCAGCTTTGAACGGTGAAAGAAGCATCTTTTCCATGTGTAGATTACCCTTGGTGAGTAAGGGGATGGCTTGGGTCATCTTGCTGGAGCTGTTAGACAAATCAGAAAGGTGCACTGTTAAATCAATCCTTAGTCTTATAGAAGAAGACGGCCTGTAAATCTATGTGATGAGTAGAACCCAGACCATGCCTTGGAATCCATTTCCCCAATGCCATTGTGGTGAGGTGCATCATCTTTCAAAAGACGTTAATCTCTCCTAAATGGCTCCATACATGTGACCCGTTGTCTCTGTTTTGTGTCCTCATTCCATCTCTTGTTTCTTGTAGGGCTACCAGATTCCTAAAGGTTGGAATGTCATTTACAGTATCTGTGACACACATGATGTTGCGGAGCTTTTCACCAACAAAGATGAATTCAACCCCGACCGCTTCATGTCTCCTTTCCCAGAAGACTCCTCACGCTTCAGCTTCATCCCTTTTGGAGGGGGCTTGAGAAGCTGTGTAGGCAAAGAATTTGCAAAGATTCTTCTAAAAATCTTTACTGTAGAGTTGGCCCGGAACTGTGACTGGCAACTTTTAAATGGACCACCAACAATGAAGACCGGCCCTACTGTGTACCCAGAGGACAATCTGCCAACAAAATTCACAAGTTTCAATGGTCGGGTTTAATAAATTCCGGAACAGTATCACTGTGATCTTAACTTAAGTTTTGGTGAATTTAAAACATGCACAATGGCTTTTCATAGTGTCCTAAATTCAATATTATATATTTAAATTTATAATGTGTAATAGTTATTTATAAGTGTGTTTTCTAAGAATATTTTTAAAGCTATTTCATGTATTAAACTTTTTTTTTTTTTTAGGCAAGCACTGTAATTATGAGTCCTTGGGATTCATAAATGGATAATTTTATTTCTATAGAAATAAAGTTTCCTTCTATTTAAGAATCGTACTCAAAGCTTGTTTACTAATTATGCTGAAACCATTTAAGGACCTTTATGTGTATCCAGACACATGGTCAAAAGTTAAATGGAATTATATGTATACTGTGAACCAAATTATGTCATAAATAAAAAAAAACTCTGCAGCTAGAATGTTGGTGTTTGTTTACATTTATATGGGGAATTTTGACCTGCTATGAGAGTGTGTTCAGCCAAGTTAACACCTTGATTCTAAGCAGACTTGACTTGGCAGTTCCACTGAAAACAGTAGAATTTGGTGGAATGTGCTAGTGTTTTAAAGAAGTATGGCCAAAATCAGAGATGGGCCTGGAAATAGATTTATCCCTCCATCCCTCTTTACTCTGAAGACTGCACCTTGGGGGGGGCAGTTAATTATCTGACCCACTTCATAAATAGTCAGCGTCTAATAAAGAAAGTTGACACCACCTTGAAGGAAGGTTATGAGAGCCTATGTGGTCACATGGTATGAGGTCATTGACGCAGGGGGACTGAGGAATTAATGGGCTTTCTGAAAAATCCCTCCAAGAGCTACTTGACTATTTTATTTTTTTTGCCATGTGCAAGAAAGCAACAAAATAAATTTTATCTGAAGACTCCAGACACTCGTCATCACTTTCCTACAAAAGGAAGCTGAGCAATATTTACATGCTGAAAACTTGGTTGAGGGCCAGGCGAGATACATAACTGCCTTAGGGCCAGGTCTGGCTTGCAAGTCATCCGTAGCCTTGACTCTCTGACAGGCAAGTAGATCAACATACTTGGCAAATATAGGCTTGGAAGGTTGGGTTGAATAGTTTGCCACAGGTCACCTTTGAAATGAACTCTTCCCTCCCCTGAAAAACTCCCATCTTGGCTGAGCAGTGCGGCTGCTGTAACTAAAACTCGAATGCACTTCATTGCACTCTTCTAAAGGAGAGACGAGCAGATGATTGCATAAGATCCAAAACTGGATTGAAAGAGAGACAAGACAGGATTTGTTTATGAAAAATCACTGTGCATCTAGCACACAGCAACTTCCTTTTGCAGCTGGAGGCAAATTAAGAGCAAAGTAGGACATTGCTTTTTGCTATAACAGTATGAAACAAAGGCTAGCTCACACCACCACAGTGGCGTAGCGTGGGTTGTCAGCACCCGGGGCAAGGCAAGTAATTTGCGCCCCCTAACCCGTGGATTTGCGCCCCCTAACCTGTGGATTTGCCCTAACCCCAGATGTTGCGCCCGGTGCGGCCGGCCCCCCTGCACCCCCCACGCTCCGCCACTGCACCACCACTCTCTCCCACTCTTGTCCCATGGATGGGTTCAGCTGTAGTGTACGACCAATTAATACGAGCCTATCAGTCGTGATCACTCTAGTCTATATGGAACATCCATGGTCAGAGATAGTATACCCTTGAATAGCCATTGCTTGGGGCAGAGCACCAGGAGAGAGCTATACTCTTTGTGTCTTGCCTTCTGGAGGCATCAGGGAAATGGGACAGGGAAACCCGGTTCAAATCCTCGCTTGACTGTGAAACTAACGTACCACACAGGGTTCTTGTGAGGAGAAAATGAGCTGGGAAAAGGACCGTGTATGGCACTTTGAGCTCTTGGAAGAAAGGATAGGATGTTGAACTTCTGGTTTGATCAATTCGTGAACTCCTAAGGTTAAAGTGACTCTGTTTCCCCTCCCTCCTGCTGAAAAACTATTAAAGCCTAAAATGAAAATCAAAAGAAATCGTTTTGAGGCCAGCTTGTGCTCAAAGGGTGTTGTTCAGTGCAAATTGTCATACAAATAACTAATAGGCAGAGAAGTGAGCTATTTACCAGTGCAATCCTGTACATGCCTACTCAGAAGTATGTCTCTATGCTTTATCTGAGTTCAGTGTGTATAGGATTGCAACCTTCATCTTCCTGGCTCTAGAGTACCCTTCACATAAATACTATTATCTCTGCCCCTCCCGCCCAGTTTGCTGATGTAATTGAAAACCCTTCTGCAGACACACTTCTAATATCCTGCACAAGCATGACCATGATGGATAAAATGGCCCAGGAATGACCCTCTGAACCTTGGCTAACCTTAAAGACTTACACATTTGGTCACATTTCTGTCCTGGCTATGGTCATGGCTTTCACTAAGCACCAAAACATTAACCAAGGTAATTCAGTTGTGTCAATAGTAAAACAAAAAACAACAAAAACCACTCATACACAAAACACCCCACAAACTTTCTCACCATACATCACTTCCACCACACAAATAAAGCACCCACTGTTGAACCTCTGGGTCCTTCTGGATAACTCGATGGATGTGACTTTCCTTTTATTTCTTTTTCAGAGGCAAGTGGAAATTCCCGTTTGCCCATAGAAACTGCAGAAGCCATTCCCCCAGTGTGCGTTTCTGATCCTGATTTCAATGGGGACCTGGATTTCACAGAGTGATGGGGGATTCTTGCAGAGTGTGTTTTTCCTGTCCCGCTGGTAAGCTATTTAGAACACAATACAACCCCAGGAAATCCTAATTAATGATCTGTGCTTGTTGCAATAAGTATTTATCTCATACCCCAAATTTAAAGAGATGGGGGTGTTGGGTGGCATGCATGGTGCTTATTTTTCTCTCATTTCAAATACATTTGATCAGAACAACTCTTGCAATGGAGGTCACTTTTGAGGGTGCTTTTGGCTATGCTCCTTTCGCACTGACTCCCTTTGCTTTCCGTGTAAGCAGTTGCTGTCTTGTACCGCTGGGAACAAGCAAAAAGGGAGAGAGACTGAATATTCTGAGAAGCAACAGCCAAATCAGAGCCACATCATGTGCTTCTGTTCCTTGTCTGACAGCATCAAAGGAGAAAGATCATAGCTCAGTGATAGAACATCCCCTTTGTATGCAGAACATCTCAGGTTCAATCCAGACAAGCTAGGCTGTGAAACAATGACTGTTCCAAGGTCACCCAGTGGGCTTCATGCTTGAACCCTGGTCTCCCAGGTCCTCTTTCAACACTTTAACAGTTGCTGCCCAGTTCTGCATCTTAAAAGCCAATCGGTAGCATCTCTTCCAAATACTTCCTGGTTTTCCTTTTCTATAGAGGGCTACAGCTGTTTTCCGAAGCTCACCACTACAATTTTTCCTTCATGCTCCTTACTGGACGGCTTAGAAGTTCTGAAATAATTGAAATAGAATCCAACATGGTATTATTTTCACGGAATTCCTTTGCGAAGCTCTGGCAAATATGTGTTTTGATTTGCAAACCTTGCTTTGAACAGTTTGTCCCATTTCTTCTATTGTCTATGGATCTAGGTAGTCATCACATCTAAAAAAGGCAGTGTAACCTTTTCCTTAAAACCATCAAGACTGCAGTCCCATGCTCCCTTACTTGTTCTGAGGAGACGCACATAGGATTGGCACTGCCAATTAACAATAGCATTCCAGGCTTCGGGAATCTACTAAACTCACCATCACAAACATTTAGGTGTTTACATTTTAGGTATTTATATTTGATCACCAACGTAGTTTGGCGTTCCAGGCTGAATGGATCCACTTCACGCAACTGATGAGCTGGGCGCCAGCCAACAAGCTGCAACAATAAATGTGTTTATCTTTTAGATGGTACAAGAGTCTTTGTAGTTTTTGCTCCAATAGCCTAATGCAGTTATCTCTCTAGAATTTATCTGCTAAATACATCACAAAAGCTGATTAGCCCAAGCTGACCCATTTAAGGAAGTTTAAGCATTTTAAGTTCATCACAAATATGCTTGCAATATTGTGTACTTTTAACAACTGTCAAACCCCCTCTCCACCACCCAGAAGTAGTTACACTTCAGTGGATAGAATAATTCCTGATTGTAAAACTCTTAGGGATCAAAGGCACTACTTTAAGAAAAGAGGCTATATTTTCCATAGAACACCAAAGGTTCGGAAAGTAAGTGGGAGCTGGGGGTGTGCGTGTCTTGGCTGGCGGTCCCCATTCCAGATCTAAACATCTCCTGCTCCCCACTCTCACATGCAGTGCAAGAAATATACAGAACTCTCCTAAAAGGCTATGTTTATGGGCAAGAATCTATTAACATGACAGGTAAGAATTCAGGGAAGGTAGTAGATGGCAGCAAGCTTAGAAAAGGCTCGTTTCAGGACAGGAGAGCCCAAATTGTTTAACAAATCGGCATGAAAAATGATGACTTGAAGAGCTGTATGAATTATGCAGCTTTCATTGTGGAATGGAAATAAATGCAGCTTTCTCGGATGGGTGTGAGATAAAATATTTAGCAAATCTGTTTGGGTGTGAGAAGGCACAGGAACATCACGACCAGTGTTTAATTACTTCCAAATGATTCTGTTTCAGAGGGTGGGGGCTGGCAGTAGAATAAAGATCCTTTTGCAGGGCAGCTCAAAGTTCCACCCGAAAAAGGAAGTTTGTCACGTGCATCAGAGAAGTGGCATGTGCCAGCAAGAGACATTAAAATATAGATACATAGCACAGCCTCACTATATAGGCAGACTTTGAATTAAGAATGTAAGAAGAACCTCGCTAGACCATCATAGTCCAGCATCTTGTCCTCACAGTGGCCACTGATTAGATGCCTATGGGCAGCCCCCAAGCAGGACTTGAGAGCAACAGGTCTTAATATGGAACTACATCTCTCCATTGGTAATTGTCTCAATAGCTGCCCTGTTGAGGATCTTGAAGAAACAACAATTTCCCTTCTGGGAAATAGTAGCAGCTCAGGCAGACTGTGGAACTGTAAGGTTTTTTGGAATGCAGAGACTGGACTTGTCAGCTGCACCACTTCTTCAGTGACTAGATTTTAATGTGCAATTGAAGTTTTCGCTGACGGATCACATAGATTAAAGCTTTCAGCCCTAGGTTGCAGTTGTGGTTGTGCCTGTTTTGTATCAACTGCATGATGGTTTCCACAGAACCACCTCTCTGCCTCCCCTCCCCACAATATTTTCTTCATACATACCTATTGGTCAGAATGGGTGGCATCTGAACTTGTTATCTGACATGATTAGAAGTACAATTACTTTTGAGATACAGCCAGCTGATTCCCTTATAGTAATCAAGCCGGAACTTTGGTGAAGCAGAGATGAAATCAAAGGCCCTTTCCCGTGACGGTCAAAAACAACAGAGAGAATTTGGAGACGTCGTCTAAAGACA